ACTCGATGTTGGTCTGGTTAGCAAGCACCACTGGGTGATATTAAGGGATGCAACTACTCATCTCAATCTATCGGCAGTACCATTGTTGGCTAGATTATTCAACAGCTACGAGTCAGTCTGAACTGGAAATAACGTTTGGGATTGTCTTGTGACATCTACCTTACTGGACCTGAGGTTTAACTAAACGACTAGTCGACTCCTTAGCCTGGTCCACTCTGCCCTGCGGAAACGCTTCTTCTAATGTTGTCTCACCTAATGGGGGAAGAAAACAATAATTGAGTCTGTCCTACCGTACTTTTAACTGATTGAGTACACACCATGTAAATACGATACAGTCAACACATTCTGGTCCCTGTGAAAAAAGTTGTCTGCGATGCGTTTCCTTTAAGGGTGGAGTCACTGAAGCTCGATTTGATTCATGAATTCATTCAGTCTCCTACTCATTGTGAATCAGCAGTGAAGAAAAAACGTGGAGATTTTTATCAGAGACCTGCTAAACGTTGTCAGGATCGCTGGTCTTTGAGATTATATTAAGCAGGAAACGTTAGAGTCGGACAAAATGACATCATGACTGGGTCGCCAACTAACGGATCTAGATATTCAGCTGGAAGAGTCAACAAGGGTGTGGTTACTAGGGGGGGTCAAGTAGCGGCGGCTACCCTTCTCGATACCGTCATGGTCAAGTTGACCATACACCTTCCGCCATGGAGGCCATTTCAGGTAAACGTAACTAGGAATTTGGATGCTAATCCTAGGAATCTGTACCTATCTAGGGTTCAGAAAAAAAGCACTCCTAGAAGCTTCATTTGTGAACACCTTGAGCATTTTGAAAACGGTGAGGCTTGCAGAAGGTCAGATAGCTGGAAAGGATAGGCAACGGGAAACTCTGACAGGCAGTAAATCAGTTAGTAAGCTATCACCTGAGAAATTCGCGGAAGGAAATGGAGATGGATTGAATATACTTTGAGGAGATTGTTGTGTGACGTGACAGACAGGCTTCGAAAGGGAATCCGAGTATAAAGTGATGAGTTTGACGTCCATGGGTGACACAGAGATCATGTGAAGACGAAATGAAAGCCAGCAACACTACCCACAGTAATTTAGAAGGTGATGAACAGCTTACCGGATGGCAACATTATGGAATATCTGAGAGAAATCAGTTCACTACATGAAGCTTAGCATGTATCCGGAGAAGATCACTCCACTGAATTCGTCTCGTCAGGAGTTCGAAACAACTGGAGAGAATTGTGAGACGAAAATATAACAGTCTGTGCTGTTTGTGCATCTGGAAAAATTTTTAATCATGTCACTTATGAATTATATCTCTGAAAAGTTCTTAGAGAACCCTTGCAGTTCCGAATCGATGTCACTCTAGAAGGTATAAAACTTTGTGCAAGTCTGAAGCAAGTACACTGCGCATCTATTGTAGCAAAACGGCCTACCGTTATTCCTGAACCAAACTATCGGAAAAATCAAGCTCTCCATTCTTTCGATTTGCTGACGCTGAAAATGTCTGCAGGATACCTAGTAACATGAAAGATTCGCAGAGGTTGCAGTGAGGCGCAACCACTCTAGAAGCATCAGCCACTGTAAGTGGGTACTCACTTAATGCAAATAAGTCTTGGGTCATATTCTACCACAGTAAGGTGAGAGTTACCTACCATTTATTCTTCAATAATCCATCCCAAAAAGCGCCAGGCTGATGATACTCCTGATGAGAAAGCTTGACACTTACGCTGACAACTACGGAGATACAAACAGGGCTATGGTAGCTCAACACTTTGTGCACTAGCATATATGTGTACTTACGGCCATGCTGTTCATACAGCTGTGCAGAATGTATTTATGCACAGCAAAATGCAAAAACACAATATTTCACTAGCACCACTCTCAGTAAGTGGGACAGAACGTCTAGTGGCGACGGACTTAAGTGGTCTTTGGGCTAAAATGCTGAATACATAATGGCTAACTCTGAGGTTTGAACCTATAAGGCTTCAGCTACTTACGAATCAAGGTCTGACTGCTAATCATTATTATTGTTCCCTAGGGTTCCTAGTGGAACATGGGGGTTCAAATTTTTCCAAATTATTCCTCTTTAAAAAAATAATAAAAACAGTAGACCTAGTTGTTAATAGGATGTTTAAAAGTGTATGCTTGTTTTGAACGATTAACTTAAATATATTTGAGCCGGCGAACCACTGTGTTTCCTTGATATAAGAATAGAACTTGGGCATTGTGGTAGAGTATAATTCACTTGTGTATAAAATTTATTTTTATAATGTCTCCCACTGCAATACAGTAATATTTACTGATGACGTTTCGAGCACAGTATATTGTCAATAATCATATCAGGTTACTCACACAACTTTCTAACTCCGTTTATATAATTCGATTATTTTTCATCGCTTGACTTGATTGGCAGTAGTATTTTCCATATTTCCGGTATGAGTGATGAATAATTCCTATTGCATGTGTTGGGTGTAGATTCGAGGAACAAGGATTCATTAATCAACCTCTCTCTCCACCTACCTATATTACTTCTTAGAATTTTTACCTTCTCCCACGATGCTATTGTGTGATTGTGTGTTAATGCATGCGGTGCAATCGCTGAGCTTTTTTCTAAATTACTTATCTTCTCGGGGTCAACCATTCTTACCTTAGCTAAATTCTTATGTTCCAACAATCTGACTATCCCCCACCTACCAGTTTGACCTATGTAGTGGACTTCACAGTCATTGCAGGGCATTTTTTAAATTATATTATTTTGTCTAATTAGGTCGACTGGGTCATTTAACCTGTGAGTTTGCAGGTTTGAATGCCACCCCAATTCCTGCTTTTTTGAGAATCCTACGTAGGGCCTCAAATGTTTCCTCCTTATATGGTATAACAGCAGATGCCTTGTATTCTCTCCTATTTATGTTATCATTGAAAGTTTTTCAATTACTTTTATTTTGCTTTTGACCTTTTCTGATCTTCCTAATAAATTTTATAGGATAGTTTTTTGATACCAAAGCTTCTTCTGTCTGTTCTATTTCGTCACTTAGGTCTTTTCGTGTACTACTTAGTGCTACCGCTCGGTTTGTTAGACAATTAACTAAGCCTGTCTTCACACATTACGGATGAAAGGAATCAAAGTCTAAATGTCTACTGAAGTGAGTTGGCTTTGTATAAACGCTAGTGCACAGTCTACATTCTTCCATTCATTTCATTTTACAATCTAACATAGCTAATTCTCCTCATTCATTTTCCGATTCAAATGTGAGCTTTACTAACTCTACTAGTGACTTTGTGTGTGTGTGAGTGTGTGTGGAGAAACTAGAAATTTGTTCTGTTTCGAACGTATTATTGTCGTTCTTTTGGGTTCCTAGTGGAACATAGGGCCTCAACTGTACGCCTCCACTTGCTTCTGTCTTCTGCTGTACTAATCACCTGCATCCATGTTAGTCCATACTGTTTCAGCTCCTCTTCACACGATCTCCTCCATGTCACCCTTGGACGTCCCACTCACCGCTTCCCTTTCGGGTTCCCCTAAAGGGCCTGACGCGCGATGTCACCCAGCGGTCTCCTCAGCAAGTGTCCAATCCATCTCCACTCTCTCCTGCATATTTGTTGGGTGATTGGTTCTTGTTTTGTTTGTTCCCATAGTTTCTTGCTGGTGATTCTTCCCGGCCATCTGATCTTCAGTATAGAACGAAGACGGCTGTTGATAAAGGTCTTCAACCTGTTGGAAATATTCTTTGTGACCCACCAAGTTTCTCATCCGTATAGAAGAACTGACAGACATGACGTTTGTATTGAAAATCCGAATTTCGTTGTTGATGGTGAGTTGAGTGACGAAGATTTCCAGATTGGTTTCAGGTTGATGAATGTGTTTCTCGCCTTCCCGATTCTCGATTTGACATCCTCATCCGTTCCTCCTGTAGTTGAGACAATGCTCCCTAGATAAGTGAAAGAAGTAACCTCTTTCAAATCCCTCCCGTTGATGGTGATTGGCAGTGGATGTTGCACCTGTTGTTGCTGGTTGGTTATTTTCATAACCTCGGTCTTGTCTATGTTCACCTGGAGTCCTGTCTTCACCGGCTGCTTCTTCGACCAGTTTGTCGGTTTTCGCTTGTAAGTCTTCGATTTTGTGTGACATCAAACCTAAATCATCAGCGAAATCCAGGTCTTCTAGGTTCTTCACGTCGGTCAGGACAGGATATCCCTGTCTTCTCGTTTCCCCTTGTCTGACGCGTAATCCATTCCACCACAATTAGGAATATCATTGGTGATAATAAACACCCTTGTCTGACTCCTGTGTTTACTCCAAACGCCTCTCTGAGTTTTCCGTTGTGACTGATAATAGGCTAGGAAATAAGTGACAGTTTACAGCACCCGAAAACAGCCGTAGTATACGACGGCACTCCCAAGGGAAATTCCAAAAGAATTTTTCTCTAGTGATGACTAAACACACGTTATGAATCTACTTTTCTCTCATTTATTTATATGCTTGAAATTCATTGCTAACTGACAAAAGTACCGTTTCCTCAGTTGGTAACTTCAAAATGTCAGATGGCTACGCGTTTGATGAATCGCTAGCTTGTTGCTTATCCTCACAATTCCTTAAATCGTATTTTCTTGACTCTGTTTTATATTTCCACGGTTTTTCGTATTTCCTTTATTTTCTTTCACTTCTACATATAACCGTTTTGTTCTTCCGTTTTTCGACTATATTCTCTACCTCATTTTCACTTCTTTTGTCTTCTTCCACCATTCTTCAGCATGTCTGAGAGTGATCTGGGTGACTGACTGGTGTAATGCCAATTGTAAAACCCAGCAGACATATCATTCAAAAAGAAATTAAACACTCATAATAAACCGAGATCTCTCCATCCGCTATGTCCAGCAACGCTACGACTGATTGGAGAGTAGATCTTAAATACTGAAACTCTCTGAAAATTTCACACTACTGAAGGAAACTGAAAGTGAAAGTTACGAAACCAGTAGTGCTATTCAGGTAAGTTGAATGTAGAATACTACACGGCCAAAATTTCAGTTGTTGCGTTACACTAATGTCGTCGTTGTCCTTTCTGCCTCACACCCTTACACCTTCGTCTGGTCATAAGAGGAAACTCGAGAAAACTTCACAGAAACCTTCGAAAAGAATAAAACACGATGATGAGGTAATTTTAGAGGTTTCATTCATTCCCTCTAGACAGACGAACACGTGCCTACTGGAAATGTAATTGTTTATAACGAACAAAATGAGGATATTCGGAGCCGATCATGTCCATACCTGGATACAATACGGAGAAACATGTTAGATTTTGACTTTGAGAAGCTTTGTTCTGTTTCGTTATCCCACCTCAACGTTTATGCGTGTCTCGTCTGCGGGAAATACTTTCAGGTATTTTTTCTTTTCCTGTTTTTTACTTAGGAATAAATTTTATTTTCATGCAGCAGTCATTTATTTCTATTCTTGTCACTGGTTCATGTTATCTCTTTGTGTCTATCTACAGTTGCTTAGAGAAAGGATTTTTTTGGCCCTATTATGGCATTTCAAGATATTTCGTTATATTAGGGTTAAATTATCTGTTCTAAGTGAGAATTCCCATGAGTTTGCTTCCGAGCCTTAAGACGCAATATGCACAAACTTGCCATACCCCTGTGTTCTGTCACTGGCTGTGGGAATTTTGGAACCAATAAAGGATTCTGAAAGTGGCAACTACGAATGGTGGACGCCACACTCCAGATGCAGTGGCAGCAATCAACCATACTTCCAACATGAATTTTTTTATAGAGATTGGTGTGGTCTGTCATAAGACGCATGAAGGATTTGGACATACTTTGTTAACAGCTTCGCTGTGCAGATTCCCGATTTATCAGGCTGTCACACTTAAGTAAGACTTTGATACTGAGGTGGATTTCGATTTAGGGGTCCACTGGGCGAAAGTCGATGACTCAAACCAATAAGCCGTGCCTCCATCTAAATGATACTTCCCAGTTAATAGTTGAGAACCATTTATTTCCTGAATACCTTGACGGAGCAGTTTTTACTTCATATCACCACTTCAGGCTACACCCCTCGCCGCACGTGTATGTTGTTTGGTCTTCATGTGTCACTAATTTGTAACACATAACGTAACATGGGATAAAAGTTTACCAAAAGACTCGTATAACCGGAGAATAACCGTGTGTTTTGGTTTGGGTTGTCGGGGAATTGCTTCTGTTTTATTATTTTAAGTATTAAGATGGCTGTTTTTCCAAAAGCGTTCGTTAAAATCCCCAAGTATCATCTTTTCAAGCTTATGTCAATACAATTCGTCATTAGCTTAAGCACTTGGCTGTCAGTCAGTGAGTCTCGGGTTCGAGTCCCGGTTCATATAATTCAGTCTGAACAGCTGGTTAATATCATCAGCCCTCACAATGAGTGTGACATATTGCCTAGTACATCGAAGACTTGAATCAGGAAATTGAACACAACAACAATATCGAAATTTTAATCAGTATCGTTAGTCTTCATCTGATTATTCCCTTCCTAAGTATTTTAGTTTATTGTTGTATTCCGTTTCATATAAATGTTCACCTGTCTCCCTGTTCCTGTATTATACTTAATAGTTCATTGCTCCAGCGTGAATCTGGGGTTACTTACGAGGTACCTAGTCTCTTTTTTAGCCTTAATTATCAGTGTGTCACTAACCCTAAAATCACGTTCCAGCTTGCCATGTGTATTGTTTTCATATGAAGCAGGGAAACAGTTTGTTTTAAGCCATAAAGAAACCACACGAACTGAGGACGCATAACTTTAATCCTCATTGCTTCAAACTAGCCATTTGTTTGGAATTAACCTTTTTTGGTTTCTGCAACTTTTTCCGCTCAAAGTATTTCGAGATAACTGTTGATGGAGTGTGTTACTGTTGTTGATTCCAAAATGACTTACTAGGGGAATCTGTCTCACTTGTCCATGTAGCACTAACAAATTCAGTTCTAGGTGTGCTGTCTATTAATTTTGTGTTTATTTTTAAGTGTATAATGTCCTTTGTTGTTTACACTTCAGGGTCGTGGCAATTCTACGCATGCGTATACGCATAGCGTTAGTGAAGGTCATCATGTCTTCCTTAATTTGGAATCTCGACGGTTTTATTGTTTACCCGATGATTACGAGATTTTAGATGGATCACTGGAAGATATCACATATCTTTTGAATCCCACTTTCGACCCCTCCGAAATTTCTGCTTTGGATAAAAACTCAAAAATGGTCAGAGCTTACAACGGTCTTACATATTATCCTGGTGTTGTAGGTCTTAATAACATAAAAGTAAGTTACTTAACAATCACTTTGTAAATTGTCCCATTTAAGTTCAATGTTCTCATCATACTTCTCTTATTATTCCCTTAGGCTAATGATTATTGCAATGTCATATTACAAATGCTCAGTCATATAAGTCCGTTACGAGACTTCTTCTTGAACACAAAAAATTATGAAAATTCACGTATAAGTTCAGGAGATCAAATGGTACTTTTGGTTCAGAGATTCGGTGAACTAATTCGAAAACTGTGGAATCCCCGCAACTTCAAAACTCATGTTTCACCCCATGAATTCTTACAGGCAAGTGAAACTTGACTTGAAACATATTGATATATTGACTCATTCCCTGTGAAACAACACTTATCTTTCAACTGATTAAAAATGCCCATAACTACTTCCAAAAGAAGAGTTTATGAACAAAGGATATTCTTTTCGATAACTTCATCAGGTTGTACATTTATATATACATAATACTGAATGATATAATAGAGAAGATTTGTAGCTCAGGTGGATGATTTTGGTGTGGTTGTGTTCTCTGAGCTGGATGGTTTGGTTGCGAAGCTTTCATTGCTCTACTGAGCAACATCTTCAGCGCATACTTCGATGTGAAGTGAGCTTTTAGAATTCTCTATGAGTTTATTAGTCATCTCTTCTGGTAACCTTGAACGTGATTGGTTGTTTTCGTGTGACATTTCATCCCCTAGTTTGCTTGTCTCGATGCTGGCTTCTTCTTTGGTCTGAATGTCGTTAGTCATTCCTTCTGCTAACCTTGAACGTGATTGGTTGTTTTTGTGTGACTTCTCACTTTCTAGTTCACTTGTTTTGGTGTTGACTGTTTCCTTGACCTGAAGTTTGACTTTGTTTTTGTGTGAATTTCTTCGTACGGATTGGTATATTTTGTCAATCTCTATGTGTCTATTGATTGCTGATTCATTTGAATACCAGGCCTCTAGGAATTCTCTGGCATTTTTGCAGTTCCCTTTGTCTAAGATTTGCACATTGTCCCAGTCGAAGTGGTGCCCGTGGTTGTCTGCATGTAGTGATATGAGGGAGTGTATGTCGTGTCTTTTGACAGCTAGTTTGTGTTCGTGAATGCGAAGACGAAGAGGGCGTCCACTTTGACCAATGTAATGTTTGTCGCAGTCGCTGCAACTTATCTTGTAGATGACGTTAGTTTTGTCTTCTTTTGCCGTTGAGTCCTTTGGCTTACATAGAACTGAGTGTAGTGACTTTGTTGGTTTATGAGCGACATCAATTCCAAAAGGTTTGAATAGTCTTGCAGTGATTTCGGAGATATCTTTTATATATGGTAGGACGACTTTCTTTGTGTTTTCGCTGGTGGCCTTTGATTTGGTTGAATGAGCTGGGGGTAGATGTCTTTTGATGAAGTTTCGTGGGTATCCATTTCTTTGGAAGACGTCCATAAGATGATTTTCTTCAATTTTCCTCAAGGCGGGAGTGCTGCAATGAGTCCTGGCTCTCTTGACTGGGACAATGTGCAAATCTTAGACAAAGGGAACTGCAAAAATGCCAGAGAATTCCTAGAGGCCTGGTATTCAAATGAATCAGCAATCAATAGACACATAGAGATTGACAAAATATACCAATCCGTACGAAGAAATTCACACAAAAACAAAGTCAAACTTCAGGTCAAGGAAACAGTCAACACCAAAACAAGTGAACTAGAAAGTGAGAAGTCACACAAAAACAACCAATCACGTTCAAGGTTAGCAGAAGGAATGACTAACGACATTCAGACCAAAGAAGAAGCCAGCATCGAGACAAGCAAACTAGGGGATGAAATGTCACACGAAAACAACCAATCACGTTCAAGGTTACCAGAAGAGATGACTAATAAACTCATAGAGAATTCTAAAAGCTCACTTCACATCGAAGTATGCGCTGAAGATGTTGCTCAGTAGAGCAATGAAAGCTTCGCAACCAAACCATCCAGCTCAGAGAACACAACCACACCATAATACTGAATGAATTAGCGTGATTAACTACAATGATGTTTAAGTAACATCGAATTAATGATAATATCAATAAATTATAGTTCGATGGCATCAACATAATACACTGAATATCAGAGAAGTTAGGAAAAGTAATAATACAAATTCATGAATTTATTGTCCCCACTGAAGGTCAAGGCAGTAGTAGTGACTGGAGTTGCTTCTTCTGCACACAGAGCACCTGTTGTTTAAGACGAATAGCGATAGCCTCTGATATTTGGAGGATGCTGTACCTGAATGTTTTTGGCAATTTGTTTAGAGCTGATAGTTGTTGAAGAATGACTCTTCAATATTAGCTTTTTGGCCGGTTTGTACTAGGCGTTCTAATATCGCACTGTTGATGCTTCTCACTACACCTTTATTTAGCCACAAAAAAATCAAACTCTCAGGGCAACGGCCAATATAACTCGTTCCGCAAGTGCGGTTGAATAGGTGGTTACAATTAGAAGTGACCAACCTTGGCACTTCATCTTTTGGTTGAGGAATCACCATCGGTCGTGTAGAAAATAAGACTTGTAGTCTGTCAGCAGTAAAAGTTCTTAGAACTGATCTTCTTAACTTCTTCGTAATTATTTCGCTAAGTATACCCCCCTGGAATTGCAGTCCTATGCTTTTTAAGTTAATACTGGAATAATTGTGTTTCACTGACTTTATTTGGTATATGAATTATTTTGATTTTTTTTATGTTGATCAGGTGTTGTTAATGTGGACAACATTTCTTGGAATTGTTCACGAAACATTGCACTCAGATACTGACTGCAGGTTTTCAAATTTCATTCGAACTCCTAATCTTCCATTTACTCAAAAGTAATTATTAGATAAATAGCATGATGAATTAAATCACCGGCCTTCTTATCTCGCTGTATTGAATTTTATTGCAAGTTACCTATCCAAGTACGATATAAAGTTATCAGTGACAATTTATATTTTATTTATGTATGAATCATTGTAAACATTTGGAGGTAACGTGGAAGGCTGATTCGTTAACTTGTAGCTTATGTTTATGAGTAGTCGGGTTGTTAAACTTCATTTAACGTGGTAAATAAATAGGTTCTGTTTACTCCAACACCTTTTTTGTCATTTTTCGCATAGATCTCATGACTTGTGAAGCCAAGCTTCTCAACTGTGTCGCACGTTACATCCTTATTTGGTATTGTATATTACTTATTGATGAACCTGTATTACCTTTCAAACAATGAATTATGAAATGTTATTAATTATAACCATTGTAACTTCAGGTAGTTTGCAGCTGATGAGAACCTGTGAAATAGAATGATATCATTTTATACTGCAAATCTGGTCTTTTTTTCTCTATCGAAATTTATCAAGGGAACCAAATGTATGAAACATCCATTTTCATGGTCCTGTCTTTCATGCTCACACTTGCCGAACCACCACCTTTCTCAATGAACAGCATTAGCTGAAATAGCATTAGGTTGAAAAAAATTGGGGGTAGTCAGAACAAAACAGTGCCAGTTCATAAAGTTTCTAGCTGTGTTGGCTTGAGCCACGTAAGACGCAGACTATCTAGTTGGGGTCATCAAAATGCCTCCGTGACATAACGTTAACACATTCACTTCTTGATGTTTTCGAGATCCTGAAAATACCCATTTATCTTAATCTAATTATTTTCTTTCCTGTGCATTGTCGGTCGTTGCAGTTTCATCCCATTTCTTTACCTCTGTGTGTGCTTTTCCGAAGTTTAACAACTTGAACTGTTGTACTTGTATGTAAAGATTTCAGGTGGTCAGTCAATTCTAAATCAGTGGTGAGCATAATAACATTTACTTGGATTCCCAACTTTTGCTTTCTTGTTTTTGCTGCTCATGTTTTGATGTGTCTTGTTCATGGTACATCTATTGTGACTGTCTCTCTGTGAATGTATCAAGATGGTTGTGAGTAAAAAATGCACAAGTTCTCAGCAGTGTAATTACTGGAGGGTTTAGATGACATGAAAGATATAAAGTTAACCTGCAGAAGCCACTAAATGGAATTACAGGTAAAATACATTCAAGCACTTTCTAAACAAAATGATTCTAAATGTAAAATTGATCTTTCCAATAACTAAAGTCATATTTCTTACACAGGCGGTTGTATTGTGCAGTAAAAAACGTTTCCAAATAACTGAACAAGGAGATGCTGTTGAATTTCTGTCCTGGTTGGTTAATACAATAGATAAAGCTTTGAAGCCCAGAAGAACTCCCCAATCCACCAGCGCAGTTAATATGGCTACTAAAAGTATTATATCTTCCACCTTACAAGGGAAGATGAGGATGTACAGTCGGAAAATAATGCCTGTGAATCTAACGGAAGAAGAAAAAGCATCACTGGCTGATAGTCCTGAGTATATGGTAATTTAAATCTTTTTATTGCATTGTTCGATTAACAGGTTTAGTCAGTAGTATTTGTTTGTATCACTTGAGCATAAAATTTTGAAGACTGATATTTAATTGTTGTAGTAGCCATCAGCATATTAAAGACTGTTAAGCAGATGTAACTGAAATATAAGTTTCTGATTTCATTTAGGAGATATTTCGATCAAAGTGTGAATATCCTAAACTAAACATGTTTTCCTCTAGGAATGAAGAGAATAAAAAGCAAGGACTAAAGCATTATATTTAGAGGTGCACAATGTATACGTTTTAAAGTTTTTTCCCCTTCGTCTTGCTTTCATGTAAGCCTTATTAATAAGTAGCCTAAACAGTTCATTTAATGAGGTCTGTTTATTCGATGAACTTTAAGTAGTATATCATATCCAACAGTGAAATTTTTTGTCGTATAATATGAATCATATTACAATACCTTCATGAATCATGCATTTTAGAAATATTTGGTAATCTATTCTGGGTGTTTGAAAATTTTTCCTCTGATAATGGTGACATAAACTAATAAATAAGAAAAGTGGAGTTTCCAGTACTTGTTTTCACACTTCGTAATTTGTTAGCCAAATGTAAATTATTTGTGAAAAAGAAAAATGAACGGTTTAATATGTGTTGGCAAAGCATGCAACATTTTCTCGGTATTTTTCTTCAGCATAACTATGCTGGGTTGTACTTGTATGAATTACTCATTATAAAGTACGTTGTGTTTTTCAGAAACCAAATTTACGTTAAGGTGTTCAATAAGAATTAAAAGAGAAAAAGGTTCATCCGTATTGCTTTTAAAAATTTGCATAATTAATTCCCTTGACTAACATTCATAATTATATGTTATTGCACTCCGCTATATGGTTTCAATCTCTGAATGCCTGTTTGTGTTCATTTGTATCTACTATAATAGTTCTCGTGCGTCGTTGGTTCAGCGATAGAGTGCTGGCCAAGCGTGCACGTGGTCCAGGGTTCGAGTCCAGGTGGGCGCACACCTTTACCTCCCTTCGCTGTTTTTAGTCCCGACAAAGAGGGAAGGTTGGGCGTGAGGCTAGAAACACCACTGCTACTGAGACTTCAAGACTGTGGCTTTAAGCCCTATGCTCCACTCAGAACTCAAAAGGAATGAAATAAAATAATAGTAGTTGTCAATTCAGAGATATGTTGGCTTCGGTCAGCAGTCATTAAGAAGTGTGTGGTATACTGGTAGTACTTCTACTTTATGCTGCACTGTTGTTATCTTGGTTGCTTATCGTTGTTTCTCGCAATTCGATTTTCAGACAACAATATCAGATACGAATTTCTTCTACCTGACATGTGATTTACCACCACCTCCGTTGTATTTAGATGAATTTAAAGAAAACATTATCCCGCAAGTTTCGTTAGCTACTTTGCTTGCAAAATTCAATGGTGTTACGGAGAAAGAATATAAAACTCATCGAGATTCTACTATGCGTCGGTTTGAGCTTCGTCGACTTCCTTCATACTTAGTCCTGTATATGAAAAGATTCGTTAAAAATATTTTTACTTTGGAGAAAAATCCAACAATAGTGAATTTCCCGATCAAAAGTATTGATTTTGGAGATCTTTTAGCTCCTGAATTTCGAGCTAAACATAGGTAAGTTTTTCTACTTTTATTGTGCAGTAATGTCCTATTCAGAAGTGAATTACTTTGAAAGAATAATAACTGGAAAGTAAAGTTTTCGTAATAGAATATTGAAAAATGATGAATCACCTCAGATAAGGTGGATGGATTTTGATCAACATTTAGAACTATGGACAGGTTTGAGACAAAATGAACATACACTTATGTACCTGGCCGAAAAATGTCTACTCAAGCCGAGAGTTTTCTGTTAATTGATTTATTGCGATATCTCTGTTTTTGGAAGTGTGTGGGCGGTTGTTACTTCCCGTCTGCCCATACCGTGGAAGTTGATTGATTTTTCGAGTGCCTGAAGCAGAAAGAGGGTTAGTGTTGCGTAACCGCAAAGCCCAGGGGACAACTGCTTGAGGCCGATCACACATGGCCTGTATGAACTGGTTTCTTGGTTTGGTTCCGTATTAGTAAACTTACCGCCGGTTACGGACCAGAATAGGGTAAGTCGGGATCTACAGTTTTTGAGGTCGACCTTTTCTAACCCCCTCTCTCCGGAGTGGAGAGACAGCATAGCTGGTATGCTGGTCATCTGATGGAAACACTGTTACATCCCTGTTCCCCAACAGTACGACTTCGCCCTCAGACCCCCAACATTGTGTAAGAAAGATTCTTACACAATGCTGGCAACTGCTTTTAGTCTAATCGCTATCCTAACAACCTTCCTGGCATGGTAGGACCTGCAAGAACATTGGTTCCAACCAGTGCAACTTGTTGGGTCATTGCGATGTGCAAGCCCGACCACCACGTCAAGGTAGCAGCTGTCGGTCGCGATTGCGGTATCTAATGTTATGGGAATATTTTCGCGAATAATTTGTCTGGATGTATATATCTAAATACATTTTTCTAGGAATTCAGATTTAAGAACTCTTTACTTTTCTCACACTATCAAGTTTTTCATTTATAGTGATATCTAGTACAAACCTAGTTGGTTATACTAAAATCTACTCACAGGATATACATGGTAGGAATTCGTGTAGCAAGTTACATAAAATGCAGAAGATTCATTGGAGAAATAAATCATTTCAAAAGGTGAGAAATGAATTGGACGCTCTAGAAAAGTGTGAGATCAAGTCGACTTTTCTGTACAGAAGTTAAGTAGAATTCGGTTGAGTTCCTTTCTTGTTGTAAGGCCACATTGATTCAGCATATGAGTTCGAATAAAGACTCGTCATAATCTTAAGTTTAGGTCAAGGGAATAATTCTACTGCTGTTTTGTATACATGTACAACTAACGCAGTGTGTACTACTGAGACCTGCTGTCTAGTTTGACAAAAGCTGCCGGATTGTGTCCACGACCATCAAGGTTATAAGGTACAAATCCATGATATTTTCTGACTTCCGACACCAAATATGGTTGGAAACAGGCTAACTGACTTTTTAGCGTAAAACTGTACGAAATTGCACTGGTTTAACTTGTCACACATCAGAAAACCAGACCCCTAGTTTAAAGATACAGAGTGAAGTAGTTGACCGTCTTAGTTACTTCACTTATTTGGGAATTCGTATCAGCCTCAGTGAACTGATCGCTGATGAAATCTTAGCTCGAATACAGAAGGTTCATCTGGAATTTACCAACTTACGTCGTCTCTCACCTGATAATCGGCCGTTGATCAAAGTAAAAGTGTACTGCACACCATCATCATAGGGTTAGATTGAAAAAAAGATAGCGGTCGTCAGTCGGAAACATGATATCAATCCACAAAGTATTTTACAGTTGGTTTGAGCCATATAAGGCAGTGTAGCTTGTCTTGGCTTGAGGTTGTTAGTGACATGATTGAAAATAGATTTTGGTGGCTCAGCTGCTGTTACTCTTTGTAATCTTCAGGTCAGTTAAATTCTCACTACTCTCCATATGGTTATTTTTTACTCGATAAGTTTATGTTCACTACAGTTTCTTTGCAATTTTTCCTCTCTACCTATATGTGCTATGTGGAGTATGGCAACTTGAAATGCTGCAATAAAACACAACAATTTAGTTTATCTAATATCCTGCAATGATTGTCAGGTCAAATACATAAGTCATAGTAGTGGAACAGGGGCAGACAGACTAGCGGAGCATAAAAGCCTTACAAAATTTAGATTAGTTGACCCGAATAAGATAAGAAATCTGGAGAATAGTTCAGCCATACCACTGAATACATGCAATCACACACCAACATACAATAGGATGATGGGATAAGATGTGTTTTAAAATCTGATGTAACAGGGTGGAGGGAGAGATTGATAACGGAAGTTTTGTTTATCGAATCGGCTGCAAGCACGTGTAATAGGAATGATTCAGTACCTGTCCGAGACATCTGGGAAATTTTACTACCCCTACGACAAGTAGGAGAGAACAAAGAAAACTATGAAACTCAAGTTTCGAAGTTGTGTGGTTATAACTGATATGATTATGAACAATAAATTGTGTTCGAAACGTCATCCAGTGAATAGTACTGTTTCCATGTGTGATATATGTAATAAGCAAACTAATGTTGAAATGCTGCAGTTTCGTGTAAAGTTGTATGTTGAAAACTCAATTACTTAGGAAAAGCACACAAAAGTAGAGAATTGAAATGGAACTGCAGTGGGCGATGATGCACAGGAGGGAAAATAATTAGGTTAAAATCAGCGGGGATTAAATTCGTAAATTACACAGATCGAAGTGAAATTTCATGAGATTCCTCTGGAAAGCAGATTTTCAGAATCTGCAAGAAGGCAAGGAGTGTATCCATCTGCACAATTGTCGGAGATTTCGATCTATGTCCCAGAGTCCTCTAATCGATGACTTTTTAGTATCTCGATGACCCCAACTTAAGTAGTCTACATTCCATCAGGCTCAAACCAACAGTCACAGACTTTGTCAACGAGTACCAGTTCTTTTTTGACCACTCCGAAATTTTTTTCAGCCCAATCCTGTTTAAGCCTATGCTACTTGTCGACGGAAGGGACTTAACATTACAACATCTGGTAGCGACTTGATTTTTCTTAAAGTGACTTCAGTAACACTGGCATATGTATAGCTGATTTTTCCACACTTTTCACAACGTATAAGGATATTCGACATACCATGAAAGAAACAGTTAATACAAAGGGTTTGTCGATTTGGGGAGTGATAATAAAGCGGTGCATCTCGTAATGGTAGTTACTTGGAATATGAAACGACAATATGGCTTTGTTTCCAGCATAAATTAGATCTTCTTCACCAAGTTATGCAAGTCGGTGACCTGTTTTTAGGCGGTAACCCAAGCTATAGTGATCAACCAATTTAGTCAGAGGATATCGGTTGCGTTACTACGGCAGTTAAGCCCTATGACTTCCACAGTAGGTGACTAAATGAGCACGTAAAAACCCACTGCTTTGGCAAGACAGAACATGTTGTTCGGATCCGGTTACGGAGAATAGTTTTGTCTTGTACCAGGTTGTGTGGTATGAAAGCTGGTGATGCTTTCCAGTTGCCCAGGCTGAAGTAAGTGGAGTGGGATCCGAGCGTGGGACACATACCTGAAAGTTAGCTGCTTGAACCAATGTGCCACATCTGCAAAATGGAACATAAGTATCCATGAGTTCATACAAATGTTTGACTTATTCCAAAGTTCCGATATGGATATGTTGATCTTTAAAGTTAATTAAAATAGTCTTTTTTTCTGTAGCAATTTAGTTCCACTCACGACTTCGTATAGAATGTATTAACTTTTTCTAATAACTCGTATGAGCAGGTATACTACGTACGATCTGGTAGCTAATGTTGTGCACGATGGTCCTCCAACTCCTGGTTCTGGAACTCACCGTATCCACTTGTTACATCGTGGTACCGGAAAATGGTTCGAACTACAGGATTTACATGTAACTGAAGTTCTGCCACAAATGATACCACTCAGTGAGACACTTATTCAGGTAAACAAAAGTTACTTAATGTCCTTCATGCAATTATTTTCAAATTTGAGTCAGTATTCATCGCCAATTTTTCCTGATTATAACATATTTTAACCTTATTTCTTTGCACATATGCGTATTCGTACTTAATAGTTTATTTTTCTTTCCCGTATCCACTAGGTGTGGGCTGTAAATAAATCTATAGTTAATCCACACTTTAAAGAGCCTACAAAGTTACCAGATCAGATGACTGAAGAAAAGGTTGAGACAGAAGACACTAAGATGGAAGAAGCAATTCAAAGTGAAGATGTCAAAGAAGCGGAGACTATGGAAACAGACTCTGAAACACATGAATAATTTGTAATATACCTTTTGTGTTGTTTTCGACAATAGTAATCAACGGCACGATTAATGAAATCGATATAACCTGCAGAAGTTTTACTGTTGATATGGCCTATGTGATCTTAAAATAAATTCTTCCGAAAAAGTATGCAGTTTTCAACTACCTTGAATTCCACTAAAGAAACCGTTACACGTGGTCAAAATGAGAACGTTCCACCTAATTTGATGCGAGGGGCATTGTTGTCACAAATTCTAATACTAGTGGTTAACAGTTGTTGTTGCAAGATTCCGGCAACACTAGGAGTCGTTAGTCCATCATAAGACAGGTATGAGACGAATGAGGGCATGTAAGACTGAGACATAACCGGGGATTTTTATAAGGGTTTATAAAAAAAAGACTTTTCTGTACGCAATCTAAACATATGTTTCACAAAAAGCTGCAGTTATCCACCCTAAACGCTATTAACGACTCTTCGGTGTAAAACGGTTTTAGATTACTCTGCACTTTGGTGTACATGGTGGCTAGATTTATTCAACCGCTTCCAATAGTAAAGGTTTAAAATACATCCACTGACTTCCTTTCCTCATGCTTTTGTGCTCAGTCTCCTTGTGGTTAATACCCTTATTCTACCATGCACAGGCTTGCTACGTACGTACCCAAATATTGTTGATTTCACCTATCCTTTGCCAAACAGTGCAAATAAAAGGTTTGGCTGTGGCACAACAGTTTAGTGACTTGACCGCAAATAAAGCTAGGAAGAAAAACCTTTTTCCAGTCGACAAGACATGGCATCACTATAGGATTCGCTAAGTGATAGGTGCCTATTCAACTACCACGTACTATAAAATCCTTTCAGATTTTTTGTAAAGAAATTAGGTTTCATAGACTAATGTACTAATTAACAGCAAGTTGCGAGTCAATTGGATTAAACAATCAGCCTACAAATTTGTGCACGTACACGATAGCTCAAACTGTCATACTTAGAAGTAAACATAGGATATGAGAGAAAAATCAATGAACCGTTGCGAACAAGCATATGCAGAAGAGAGAATGATGGAAAGTCTCAGGATCTGGGATATGGCAAAGGGTGAATATGTTTGCGCCACTGCGAACGAATTTGAGCCATCCCACATTTCCAGTTAGTGACTCCTACTGTAACGACAGAAGACAAGGGTCAGGCAACAGATCGTTTATTCAGGAAATCAAGAGGTATTTATAAATTTTTATGTGCATCATCGTTAGCGGAGAAGAAACCTCTTCTGATTGGTTGTTTTCTTGCTGAAGGTTATTCTGTTATCTCTTTATGGCCGTTTCTCAGGAAATCCACACGTGAACTCCGCTGTGATTTCCCTTGTCATTGTTTTTCTCATGACTCTGATTCGGGATGTGAATTGTTGTCTACAATTTTGGCTTGCAGCCAGCTCTCACCACACTAGTGCCTCGAAGAGCTCAGATAATCTATACCTTACAACTATTTGTCACTTCATGACAACATTCTAACTCTTTTTCAGCCTAATGTTACTTAGGCTTGTCGAGGAAGGCAGTGATTGGGCATATCCAAATCACCATATACAATAATGATTCACAACCTTCTCGATTGGATTGCGTTCACATGCAACACTATAAGCTTAATCTCAAAACTGCTTACTATATTGCTCCATCTAACGCGAGCGGTCGAACGAAAGCGTCGAAGACCTCTTTTTCATACATGCCTTCTGTGGTCACATGTGACAGTCGGGAAGAATTGTTGCTCTCTATACTCTTTAACGAGTTACTGCATATCGCACCAGCGTCGAAAGTGATGCATGTCTTTAAATGCCAAACCAGCGTTTTTTACATGTGCTCAAACACCAGTGTTGAACCAAATTCCTAAATAAATGAGTATGTTGACACATTTAAGCATTTCACTCACTTTCCTTAAACTAGGGATCGGTACAGACCAGTTACTTAAGATAACTTTACAGAGGCGAACTGCATACCAAATGTACGGAGTCAACAAAATCTAGCTCTGGCGGCGTCATTTTCCCAAAAAGTTGAGGTTAATTAAACTGACCTCTATCGGTACATCCATAACAAAATTAAAGAGGAGAATCTGTAATATATTATAAGTAGATTTAAAAAATGGACAATCTAATTAGTTTTCAGGAATATGCATAATTTAGTTAGATTGATTAAGGAAAAATCCATATCACTTATGAAGTAATGCAAAAGCAAGATAATTTTTGTCATGGAAAAAATGATAGTAAATAAATGGAATGCATAAATAACTGGTCATAATATAAGTAAATGCAAGAAGTCACTCAAAGTATATTGCACTTCACTACAAAGGTGTTAATGTACTTAGTGAGATCTACTGTTAGATTGCACTGAAGGAGGATTCTTTTTCAACTGTAGAAGGAGCACGCGCATTCTGTTAAGGTCTCGTTGACTATCCTTTGAATTTATTGGGACAGTTGTAGTCTCTTCATTTGTAGAAGTAACAAAGTTGCACAACTGACAAACTCTATCCCACAAAATAGCTTGACCAGCATCGACTTGTGACATCATGCTTGATGCTTCTGCGGCTTTTACTTGGGCATCGCGAAGTTCCTTGTCATGAGCACGACTGAGTTTTCTTCCTCGGGAAAGAGAATCGCGGTACTGGAGTGCCCACTCATGTAAATCCTTTGAATGAAAATAGTAAATTATTCATAGCGATTTTTGGAAACAAGTACTCGGGAAAACGTTTGTAAGTATATTAAAAAGTTACTTGAAATAAAGTAGTAAACACTGGTGGTTACTGTGTGAATAAAATTCTCGAAACTTTTTCATTCCGTCTGAAGGCCAGTTATAGTACCAATTTGGAAAGCAAACAAACTGGACAGGGTCTGCCAAATACTAGTCGTCATTGTAAACATTTAAGTTAGTCGATTCATCATTCGCCTCACTAGTGTATGACTTTATTTGATATACAGTGCATAGAAGTCAGTCTACACAATGGTTTAAAAGAAGGTGAGCTGTATTGGATAGTTGGAGGCAATCGCCAGGAAGGTGAGCTGTTACATATGTAACGTAATATAGCCGAATACATCCACATAGTCAATACTTTCAAGCAAACTATTTGACAGTTATGTATCGAGACCCTGAAATATGGTGGAAGAGCTAATTAAGATCGTAGTATAAAGGTTTAAAGCAAACAAATTTAGAAATATGGCATTCAAAATACTTATAGCAATTAGATGATGACTATGGAGATTTTTTTTACCATCTTATTGAGAATAAATATAGCATAAAACCAAAAGACCATGTATATCTGTATCAAGGTAATATGACAATGCACACATCTGAGCAAATTCGCGAACTTCCAAGTCACAATATTTCCTTCTACGTATTTCGTAGATATAAACTTTGAAGTTGGACCGTGAGTTGGTGACATGATACTCGAATCTATCTCAAACTATGGAATGTGAAAAACAAAGAGAGCTATCGTTTTTTACATAGAAGGTATAACTCATGTGTCATTTATGGCTAAATTACTTCAATGTTATTTCTCCAGAAGGAATCGTACTGCAATTTTACGAATTGTATCTCTGACCAAGCTTAAACATCTCACTGAAAATTTTTGCAAGACAAATAAGGTCACAAAATCGCTAGACCTCGAAGTGCTTCGAACACAAAATAACTTATGTAACTCAAACACTTTGTTGTCAGGTTTTGATGGACTTATTGGTCTGAAAAACAAATTCCAGGTGGATATTTCGCATTCCAGTAAGGTGCATTACAAACATAAACAATAAAGTCAAGAAGTATTATAATATGTATGCATTCACTTGCAGACGTTACTTAGCAGTCCAAAGGCCTAACTCCTGGAAATACCGGAATTTGAAAAATCTAAGTCTACATTAAGAGGTCGTCGGCATTATGTTTTTCTTTGACAAAAGTTATGGCTGTAAACATGGACAATAGCGCTGAAGTGTTTATACTGTTAACTGGGTAAACATTACCCTACAAGCTCTATTAGTACTTTCCCTTTTGCAACCACGAGTCACCTGATAGGACATTTCCTACTAATGAAGTGGGTATCTGAAGGAAATCTAGGTGTAAAACACCTCACGACTATCTTAAAGAAAACGAAAAGAATGAACAACCCTTAAATTTCTGACATCCTAGTTCCTTCGTTCCATCTAACAGAAGCAACAGAAAACTGAGTGATGAGCACTGTGTCTTTATTTGTGTTCCACATATTAACAGTTTCTGTAGAGAGAATGTGAGATACATATAAAGTGAATCAAAACAAATGATTCAGCGAAGAGACTCTTTTCAACGAATTTATCATCAAGCTGTATAATCGTATATATATATATGGTTTTATAAGAAGTTATATCCGGTAAGGGAATTGAATCACAGGTGTGAATGCATAAAATAATAATAATAATATGAAATGCAATTAAAACTAAAATGTTTGTTTTAGCCATCCTATGAATTATTCTATATATGACATTAATCTGCTTTGCCACTTGACATTTAACCACGATTATAATCACAAACATTTTAGTTTTAATTGCATTTCATATTATTATTATTTTATGCATTCACACCTATGTTTCAATTCCTTCACCGGATATAACTTCTTATAAAACCATATATATATATATATATATATATACGATTATACAGCTTGATGATAAATTCGTTGAAAAGAGTCTCTTCGCTGAATCATTTGTTTTGATTTTCTATATGTTACAATGGGAATTTTTCATGACATAAAGTGATCACGTTGTTACGAAATGCCAAGAACAGTTTTAATGGGACTCGTGGTTTTTGGACCTCAACGACACTTCGGAGGAAAAGGTTGCTAGACGGAAGCAATGGGATTAAACTGATTCATATTTAGTGTTTGCACAAGAAATATAAAGAATACCATATATAGCGTGGTTGCTAAAACTGTGTTAACATGCTCGTGCTTTATCTGTGGTATTTTATAATGGAAGCTGATCTAGGGACGGAACCTCTACATATTAATAAGGAAACCAACTTAGAACTGCTTTCAAGACTCAGTGGTTCAGATGAACTCCGTCCACGAATATTATCTAGACTGCCAAACCGTTGTCACTGATACAATCTAAGTCTCTAAGAGACTGGAAGAATGCCATCATTAGTAAATTAAGTAGTTCCTGGACTGATAAAGTGATGATGGGTTGTATCTAAGACTACTACTACTTTAGAAAATAGAGAATGCTGATTAACAGCGTCTTATAATCATGAGAATCGATGAAGAGTGGTATTCCTCGTGGTACAACTCTAAACTATGTTCTCTTTTTAATTTATGTAGATGAGATACCTTTGACAATTAAATTGTCATGTCCCATGTCCGATGATGACAATAAGCTTTGGTGAGCTGTAGAAAAAGATAGTGATCAACTTCCTTTGAAAAATCTAGGTCTGTTGCCTGAGCAGTGGAGCCACCGACCTTAGGAAATTAACAGAAGGAAGTAAAATGAATGGCCTTATCCTGCCTGCAGTTACTCAGTAAACGGATTTATAAGTGGTTATAAATCATGATCCGATAACCTTAGATAGATGTAGAGCGGCAGCTACTAGGAATGTCAGAATATTATAGGCATTCTATAAGGCCTATGTCAGTTTTAATGTTGATTATTTCCTCTGATGTATCAAACCTCGTCTGGAATATGGGATTCAGGCGGAAGATATATCAGAAACGGAGTGAAAACTAAACTGTTACTATACACACTTTCCTCTCCACACCAGTGGTTATGGGGTTATCTCACTTAGCAGTCCGTATTTGATGTAGGTATCTGGGCGTTAACCAACCGTTTATTTTCCTTCAGTTTATATCTCCTCTCTGTAAGTTCGTTTTTACCGTTGCATTGCGAGCTGGTGACATAACGTGATGTACTACCTCCTACTGATTCATCTACAGCAAGAATAGACGTCATCAACATTGATTCGTGAATAATTCGCATTCAGGCATCAATGTTTTGTAATCAACATTGAACTAAAGTCTATTATCCCTAACAGTATGTATACCGTAAAGTGAACACAACGAATACGAGACAATTATAAACATATAAGATCCGTCTAGAAGAGACTATAGAAATTCCACAGAAACTCTCAACTATAAAATCTCAGATATTTGCTAAACGACAGAAAATACAACGAAAAAGATAATTATATTACCCATACCTTGAGTCCCTGTTCCTCCAACTGAGACATACTCTGGCGTTCAGCATTATCCTTAATCTCGATGCGCTTTTGAAAAGATGCAGCCCATCGTCTGATGCATTCAGGTTCTTCAACTGCCTGGGGAGTTTCAGGACCTGCTGTTTTACCTAATTCCACCGTGACATTTTAGCTAGAAAACAAACCTTCATTTGAAAAGTTCAGATCGTCTTCAAGCCCACGTAGCTCCTCCCGTTCTCTCACAAAGAAATCATTCAGAGCAGCCTCAGCTGACATTTGATACGCCACTATAACTCGCTGACCTTGAGGTCATTACACATTTAGCTTCGCAAAAGCAGCTAGAGGTGATAAGTTTTATAAATGCCCAGTACATTTGAAGACAGTTGAAAGTAGCTGACAAATGCATTACCTCTATCATCTTCGTTTGACAAAGTAAATGGAAGCATGTTGGTTTAGCTGGCAGATATTATGTACGCGTAAGATTATTGGAATAAGTACTTGGGAAACCTTTAGACAGCGCTAGAAGCCAGCAAAATAGGAGTTAGACTTCTGTACATTTATTAAACCTATTTTGGAGTAGCATATAAAATTGCCAAGGAACTGTTGTGAACGCTGTGCAACATTATGGAGCAAATCAAGATGACAGTAAGATGAATGTCTGTTTGCTATTCAAAATCTACAAAATTATGAGTGAACTAGTACTTGAACACAGTCTTTCTAATGTACTTAGATAACCTAGCAACATATTTTATACTGTCAGCCGGGAAATCTTTCTGTCCGCAGGCTGAAAATGACTGGGAAGGGAACCTATGCACACACCTTGGGCTAGAAGAACTGGTAAGAAAATGAATGACTTTCTGATTTCAGTAAGAAGGTGTTGTGGGAGAGGAAGATCAAGTAGAGGAGGACGAACAAGTACGGAGAATAAGAAACTAAGCAGAGGCTGAGTAAAAACTTCAGCCCACTGAAAAAAGGTGTGAAGTAGAGTGGTAGGGAGGATGTGTAACTCATTAATGACTCACTGGCCACCGAAGCAATATGGACTGCAGATAGGAGACCTGAGAACACTATATTAAATTGCGTGATCCCTATCTGGGAAAAGGTTATTGCAGATAAGGTCTCATTACCAAAAAGTGAGAGAAAGAAGGCACCGTGTTGATCACTTCACAGGACTATTGAATCCACTTCCCCCTATACTTCATCCCGAAATACGATCATCATACCCTGACCTATCAGTGAAGCCCCAGAAAATCAGAAGTGGGCTAAAAGGTAGTGAAAGCCGTGAAATATTCAGAACTAAATGGAAGCCTTCTAGATGACATCACAGCGAACACACATTTCAGTACTGTAGGTGTGTGCGTGAGGAAAGTCACTTGCAGATTTGAACAAAAGATAACTCTTCAAGCTACCAGAGAATGGCGACTTGGGCATATGTAGGGCTTATCATGGGATCATGCTCCCTCCCACCCCTGACAAATTATCAGACGGTATCATCCTGAAAGGTAAAACCAATGGATGAATTAGTCGGAATTGGCTTGGTTTAGGATGGAAAAGACATACTTGGACTAGATTGTGACATGTGGGAACATAACAGTTTACCACGGTTTACTAATTCTAAGCTTTAACTTTGTCCACTTTGTAAAGTGCATTGGAAGTGTAATTCTTCTACTGTAGTACGGAGTGATGGATCATATTCAGAATGCACAGTAGTTCACAACGAAAAGCTTTACAGAGTTTTTGAGGTGAAGAAAAGAGTAGTACAGTGCTCCCTACTAGTATCGATAATGTCCATGACTGTGTTGGACTTGGTTACGCTGTAAGTTGTGGGTAGTGAGAAGACATATACACGTTAGGTCTACAAAAGGACGGTTAAATATGTGAATTTTGTGGATGATTACTGTTTCATGTCGTGAAACACAAAGATAAACACACAACCAACAGGTTGGCAGAAATGTCAAAGAAGACATCACTAACAGCGCAAATAAGAAAAGATAAAGATACCGAACGAGTAACAGCGAACAGAAACTAACATAAGTGGAAGAAATCTAGGAGAAATCGACCTTCTCAAGTTCTTAGGCTGCATGTTTTCACTACAGGCAGCAGGAATGAGCAAGTCGTAGTGTATCTTGAATGTCCGAATTTGTGTTTAAACGCAATCATGCACTTTTGGCGCCATGCCATCTTGTGATTTCCGACGCAACTGTACACACGTGGTTCGCTCCCTTGTTGTGCTACCACTCAGCGCACTCTATGAGCTTACTACCCAGTTGAGGCACCGGATAAGTTGTACAACATTCTTATTTATTGAAATTGATATTCAATCTGTGTGAAAATACAACTCTCATCAGGACACACTACCCAGTCTCCAGCTTTTTTACTTTGCGTTTCTTAATCAGTACTTACACGCTAGGTGGAGTGCTGGTTAGGTTATTAAGAAGGGAAGTCTTTAGTAAGTGCGGTTTATTGTCGGTGAATACCGTGAATGGCCGACCTTCGACGAAGTGTCGAAAATGTTTGATAGCAGCATAAACGGCGAGTTCTGTGCCCAATGTGCTGTACCTTGCTTCGGATGCAGACAACTTCCGTGAGAAAAACGCGACTGGTATCCACTAGGTACGCAACTGTTGTTATAGTACAGCTCCAATGGCTGCTTTAGATGCGTCAACTAAGATACTGATCGGAAGTTGGACGTCTAGATGGATTGGAATGGTTGCATCTGCGATCGCCTTCCAAATGTTTTTGAACGCTTCTAGAGCCTTCGGTGTCATGATAAATGTCTTGCACTTAACTTTAAGTGAGTCTGTGAGTGCAGATAAGATATGCGTAAATTGGGGAACAAATCGACGGTAATAACTTGCCATACCTAGAAACGTGCGCAAAGATTTCAGGGACGTAGGCTCTGGGAAGTTTCGAGTGGCCTGTACCATTTCCTGTAAAAGAAGAATGCCATGTTCATTGATTGCACGTCACAGGAAAGTAAGCGAACGGACACCAATCTGGCATTTATCCATATTGAGTGTCAAAGGGCATCTTGTCGATCCCTCAAAACCGTCCGCAAATGAAAACGGTGAGTCGCCTTGTCTGGACTAGCCACGAGGATATCGTATGGATGGACATACGCGTAATCCACTTCACGCAAAACGTCTTGGGTGGAACGCTGGAACATCTTCGTGGTATTGTGGAGATCAAAAGGAATTCGAAAACGCCAAAAGTAGTGATCACTGCTGTTTTAGGGACATCCTCTTTGTGAACTGGAATTTGATGGTAGGCTCTCGTCAAGTCAAGTTTGCTGAACACTGTAGCACCTTTTGGAGAAGACGTCACACCGTGTATGTTTGGGACAGGATAACGATCTGGAACAGTCTGGGCGTTGAGCCTGCGGTAGTCACCATAGAGGTCTCCAGTCCATCCCGTTATTCTTGGGCATCACTTGTAGGGGTGAAGATCATGGACCGCTAGTTGGTCGGATTATCACCATCTCTAGCATATATTCAAACTCGGCCTTAACGGCTTGAAGTTTTCCTGGGGATACCTGCCATGGCTTTGCAAAAACAAATGGGCCGGTCGTCATAACGTGATGAGCGACATTGGTAGTCACGCATGGGAGTCCGGAAACCGGTTTGAAAAGATTGGCGAAAGACTGGATGACGTCAGAGTAGTGGCAGGTATTGAGTACTCTGGGTTCAGAGAGGATTTGTGCGTGACATTACCGCAGACTGATAGCTTTAAGGATGCATGGATCAAATTGCGTTTGCCAGCACCTACTAGTAGCTGATAGTGCTACAAAAAAGAGAATTATTATTATCATTATTGTAAGATCAATTCAATTCCCATCCTTGAATCAAGTCAACCTGTCCCGGATCAGCCTAGCATTGTTGCAACACAATTATCCATGCCTGACGTGTCTATCCCACCTTGTTTAATGAACTGTGTATGTGTGTTTTTACTTCGATCCGTTTAGTCAGACAGTTGAACTCATGACCCAGTCAGAGTATTTTTTTGAACTGTTATTTTGCTGATCCATGTCTTACTTTGTATTATTCTGTTCAGTTTATCTTATTTATTGATTATTTAAGTAGCCAATTAAATTCTTTCTTTATGCCTATGCTCTGTCTACCTCTTACTTGGGTTCATTCCTCTACTGACTGCTTACCTGAACGGTCGTGTCTGATACGGCTACTTCGTAATTTTGGCTTTAACGTTATTCCGCTCTGATAGCGGTTCCTTGCTTTCTGTTAAGCATTGTGTATTGTACTCTTGAAACCATTAAGGTTTGTTGTATATATATTTATTGATTTGTTAATTAATAGTACTGTAGAAACAGTGACCGGCTTCTTGTTTGTTCTGGACCGGGATAGCCTTTATCTACGCGTGACTTAATTTCAAGCGATATTGCGCTTACAATTATTATTAAAAGATCCACCCCAATGATACCGGTAATAAAATCTGCCACAATGAAAACCCAACGAAATGAGCGACGTAAGCCAATGTTGAGATCCAGGAACCTTCTACCATACACTGTGATAGGCGAACCATTTTCGGCGTTGAGCTGTGAGGATACTGGCCACAGGCACTCTTCGGTTGTGGGTGGAATCTCAGTGGTCTCCACCCCAGTGTCAACCAGGAAGCCTGTCCCAGTGTTACGGCCAGTAACATAGAAGAGGCGACATGGAAGTGCTTCGCCAGCTACGATAGTCACCATCATGTGCTGGCCCACTAGTTTTTTTCAACTTTTTGGCATCAAAGATCCAAGGTCGAGTGCACCTTCAGGCTTCTGCACCATAACGTCGATGATACCAGCATAATCCCTGCTTGGAATTTCGTGACTTCGAAGCCCACTGCCAGTACGAGAAGGGGATCTATAACAAGTTGGGTTTGTGTGACTACAGGACAGACTTCTGGCGTTCATCCCTTGCCTAAGACTACAAATCTCTTCGTAAAGCCTAGTGATATTTGGCATTGTGTCGGAACTCGGTGGCTCAACAGCGAGAGGATCCTTAAATTGGGAGGGACCGTCAGATACCGTCGCCGAAATGTTCACACTGGTTTGAGTGGCCTCCACAGTTCCGTCAGCCGCCTCTGCCAACTCCAGAGTTGTGAAACCGGGCCAAAATCCCCTGCAATGACTGAGGCAATAGTTGCAAGCAAACCTGCTTCAAGAAAGTGTCATCGATACTGAAATCAGCAACTAGCTGTTCCATTTGCCTTACCATTTGAGTGGGCTTACGGTCGCCAAGTTGGACATCGCGAAACAGTTCTCGCACTTTCTGTTGACCTATTAGTGCAACTTTGAGGCGATCATACAGTTTTGGAGATGGATCATCT